CACACTTATATCTTGATGCTGATAAAACTATGCTAATTCAGCAAAATTTGGTTATGTGCGAGTTATTATGCAGGAAGTACTGCTCCTTGAATTGCTATTTTTTTAAATAATACATTTTTATATTAAATTTTAGAAATATTACGCCATAATTATATTTTTTAAAAATATTACCCAATCGGCCTACTGCTGACCGATTGGATCCAGTCGGCCTACTGCTGGCCGATTGCCCCCCAGTCGGCCCACTGCCGGCTGATTGGATCCAGTCGGCCCACTGCTGGCCGATTGGCCCCAGTCAGCCCACTGCTGGCCGATTAGCACCTTCCTCTAGGCCGATAGATGCATGCACCCATCTATCTGTTGAGTAGGTATTTTAAAAATGTTGAAGAAGTATTTGAAAAAATGTTAATCATGCATATAAAACTGTTAATCAAGCATTTACAAAAAATGTTGCCCAAGTACTTGAAAATGTTGAACAAATATTTGAAAACTGTTGAATAGGTATTTGAAAAATGTTGAAGAATGGAAATAATGGAAAAGTATTTAATATTTTTCAAATACCTATTCAACATTTTTCAAATATTTGTTCAACATCTTTAAAATACTTGTTCAATATTTTTTTAAATGCTTGATTAACATTTTTATATGCATGATCAACATTTTTTTTCAAATACTTCTTCAACATTTTTTAAATACCTATTTAATAGATAAATGGGTGCATGCACCTGTCGGTCTAGAGGAAGCAGACTGGGTGTCAATCGACCAGCAGTGGGCCGACTGAGGCCAATCGGCCAGTAGTGGGCCGACTGGATCCAGTCAGCCGGCAGTGGGCCGACTGGGGGGCGATCGGCCAGCAGTAGGCCGATTGGGTAATATTTTAAAAAAATATAATTACGGCGTAATATTTCTGAAATTTAATATAAAAAATCTATTATTTTTTAAAAAATAGCCCTCGAATTAACGTCTTGAGGCCGACTTCCACCAAGTTCTTAGTTCGGGCACTTATTTACACCACACAGGCATGGAGTGTCACCATGAATCAGTTGCACCACACAGGCCACATATAGTCGAAGATGACATGTTTCTGTGTGCTCTAACATCTTCTGTCCAAAGAGAATATTTTGCGAGCCTCCATAAAAGCATACGATGTTGCCAGGGACTTGTGTCTTCCAGAGAAGTTTCCATGACTCCGCATCTCGGTCGTTGCTAGATGATCCCGAGGTACCATCCAACCATGCCTCTCTTCTCATGTCCACCGTCATTCCGTAAGCAGAACAAATGGATTAGTTTCCGTTTTTCTCAAAGTTCCAGGCCCATGAATCTGCAATGTCTGAGGTGCGTAGCAGGATTTGTCTAATGGATGGAATATCAACGGGTAAGCATATTTCCTCCAATCTCTCAAGATCCCAGGGGGGCGAAGTATGATCTATCAGCTCGGACACAAATTCCGGCGGGTTGGGAGAGCGGATGCCATGAGGCTGCATCATTTCACCTCGTGGAATCTGATTGTCGGTCTATATGTGAGTAGACTCTCCATTCCCAATGCGCCTGATCAAGCCTTGCTTTAATATACCCCGGCCCTCAATGATCGCCCTCCATAGCTGGCTTGGATGGACACCCAATTCAGCCGTCAAAATAGTTTCCGTTGGAAAGTATACACTTTTTAAGATTCTTGCACTAAGGAATTCTGGGTCTTGAATTCTCCGTGCTTGCTTGGCTAGAAGAGCCAAGTTAAAAGGTTCAAAGTCCTTGAAACCAAAATCACCCATGCTTTTCAGCTGTGTCATAGTTTTTCACGAAACCCTATTAGGTTTACGATGACCATCTTTGCTTTCCCATCAAAATTTCGTGATTAACGTGTTCAAATTTTCGCACAAGCCCCGTGGCAACTTGAAGCAGATATTGAATATACTGGCACTGCCTGAGCTGCTGTTGACACTGTTTGTTCAATTCATCCTTGCACTCCTGTGTTCGGTGGACGTAATCTGGAAACCGGCCTACCATTGGTCAAATATAGGAAGGAATGAAAAATCAGCAGTCTAGCGGCCCACAAATGAAAAATGTTCCACTGTCCATCGCTGCAAGCCTGCAAAGTCTGCCCACGTCTCTCGCCGTGTTGACGTTGACTTTGACTAGTGCACGCCCTTCTTACGACTTGCTTTGTCTCGAGGCTGAGATCTGCAGCGCTGCCACTGCAAGCACCGGGCAAAATGGCGTTGCAGCCGCCGGGAACCGACGACTCCGTTGCCGACCTCAGCCTCAGGAGGCTGGAGGCCGCTGATGAGGCTGCAAAATAGTTCCTTCTGTGTTTAGATTAATGATGTGTTAGGTCCCTATTTTGTGGGTGGAAAAGGATTGAAACAAGGTGACCCTAGCTCCCCCATGCTTTTCAACCTTGTGGCAGATGTCTTTTCACGCATGCTAATGAAAGCTGTGAACAGCAACATCATTATGGGATTGTTCCTCACATCATCCCTCGTGGGCTTTTTGTCTGCAGTATGCTGACGACACAATACTATTTTTGAACCCTAAACCTGAATATGTAAAAAACTTAAAACGGCTGCTCGCATGTTTTGAAAACCTATCTAGGTTAAAAATTAACTATGATAAGTGTGAAGTGGTGCCAGTTAATATGAGTGAGGAGGAGGCTAAGCTGCTATCTCAAATCTTTTGTTGCAAGTTGAGGGATTTTCCCCTTAAGTACCTGGGGGTACCTCTCCATTATCTTAAGCTAAGGAGGGAGGATATCCAATATATTATTGACAAAATCATGAAAAGGATTAGCGGATGGAAAGGAAGACTGCTCAGTTACGAGGCAAAACTAGTCCTACTTAAAGCTTGCATTGCTAGTATTCCTATGTACTTAATGTCTGTGATTAAATTCCCTAAGTGGGCCATCAAAGCCATCACTTCTCAGATGGCACATTTCTTCTAGGGGGATTCGAGTGAGGAACATAAATACCATCTTGCTAACTGGGGCCTGATTTCTCAGAAAAAAGATTTTGGTGGTTTGGGGATTCCCAATTTAAGAGAATTCGATATGGCTTTGTTAGCTTCTTGGGCTAAAAGATACTTCATGAATCAGGATAAGGATTGGGTGAGATTGGTTGATCATAAATATAAACCCAATAAACCTAACTTGTTGTGGACTAAGCAGGGTGTGGGTCCCCCTTTTTGGGAAGGGGTGACCTGGGCTCTGGAAGGCATTAGACGTTTTTTAGATGGAATTTGGGAAAAGGAGACAAGATTAGCTTCTGGGATGACACTTGGGTTGGGGATTCTTCCCCGAGAACTCAATTTTGGGAGGTGTATGCGATTTGCCAGCAACAACATTGTGTGGTAGCTGAGGTGTGGGATGGCAACACCCTCAAACTCACCTTTAATAGGTGTGTTAGTGAAGGTTTTATGGACAGATGGTATAATCTCATTCAGGTCATCTCCAACAGAAACTTATCCACTGAGGAAGACCAACCTATCTGGTTATTGGAGCCGCCTGGGATATACT